GATGCTTTCTAAATTAATGATATACAGTCTTAGTTCTTAAGTAAACATTGCTTTAATTCCACATACTGTAAAACCAAAGAGGAAAACATATCTCCTATGTTTGTTGACCTATTTTAGTCTCTAGGAGTACGAGGAGGCCTACTGACAAAGAAGCAAGATGAAAGTTAAGTACACACAGAACTTAAGTACTCCATTGAGGAGAAGTGCTGCCCTTTATTTATTTATCTATCTATGTAATTATTTATTTGCTGAAAACAAAGCCAAGGGATTAGAGCCCCTATAGGATGTTTTTGAGGAACATACAATTCAGGAGCTACATTCTAGGAATTTTAAAGCCCTGCTCTAGCAAAGCCACCCCGAACCAGATGCTTAGACAAAACCCAAGTCTGAAGGGCTTAAAAAGCAAGTGTTTAGGCCTAAATTAACAAAGACTTCAGAGCAGACCTAGCTTAGAGGGCTAAGTGGGAGACTATTGCCTTGCAAGGACCGACTCTATGGTACCAATGTATCTTAATCCAACATTCAGATTTTAAAAAAGGAAGTTATCGTACCTATTTAACTATTCCTACAAATTTAGCAGGAGGATACAGAAGCCCAGGCAACTAAACTATTTTGTGGTGGGAGATGAAAGAGGCGTCTACAACGATGCGTGACATGAAGCAAATGGTTAGGGAGATGCCTCCCCCCCCGCCGGTATTAAAATCCAGCATCAATCAATGATAGAAATGGAGGACAAAAAGGAGGAGGTCATCTCACAACACAAATGCAACTATGGAACGTGGCAGAAGATATAGCAACGCCCAACACTGATGTTTTGAAAAGGAGATTAGAGAAATTCATGGAGGGTAAGGCTCTTAATGGCTACTAGTCATGATAGTTCAATTCAACCTTAATATCTCTAAATATCAATTGTATGGGATTTGTGCAATATGCATGTGTACAGGTGCTCCTGGTAATGGAATACTGTTGGATCAATTCATTTTTATTTTTTAAAAGATCTTGGCAATACCTGCTCTGGACTTACCACTCTGCTTAAGAAATTTTGTCATCTCCTCATCCTGTAACTTTTTAAGAAGGAATACACTGTTTTAGAGTAATGCTGGGACTGAGCAATGACAAAGAATATTGCTGTTCTATTGAGTGGACATAGCCTAGAGCAAACGAATATGAACATTTACCTAAATAAATTTAAGAAGGAATGCATTTGCATTGTCTAACAGAGGTAATTTCTTCTACCTGACTGAAAAATACACAGGGGCCTTAAAATTTATGCAAAATTCACAGATCTGTTGTTGATTGTATCCTTAGGGATAAATTGTGGCTAAAACTGGAGCATTTGTTTACTGACCAAAGGCTGCTTTATCTTGTCAAGACCCTGTATCCATCCTTCAGCTCTGATGTGACAATGCAGGCCAGTTTTACTGAAGCTTCCCCTAAATCCGAGGGATTGGGAAGGGATGGCAAGGATGACTTCTAGCCTCTACTCAACTTACACTTGAATGATCTGAAAAATACGTTAAATAAGCTTGATAGACCTTTGCCAGCATTTGGAAAGAGGAACATTTATGTTTTAAGGTACACAGATGATGCAATCATCCTCTTGTTATAGACCTGGACTAAAATATGAGCTAAACAAATTTTTAAATGTTTATAAATGGTCAATTTTTCAAACTTTAGAGCAATTTCTTAGAGATCAGTTATGGTAAGTGAAAGATCAGAATGTTCAAATGGTTACTTTGCAAAGATGGTGACTAGGTAAGCAACTCAAGAGTACAGGTCAAGACTTTTCTGTGTTATTTTCTCACTCGCATAAATTATGCTTTCCAGACACTTCAGGGCTTGAAACTGCTATTGTTTCTTTTATCTTAAAAGGGATCAGTATCTTTCCACTGTCATTTAAGTTTTTAATGCTACAGTTAACCTCTCATCTCCTTCATGGCGCTGCCATTTGGATCCAGAGAATGCCTTCAGATCTGAATTGCAGCAAACTGGTGTCTTGTGTGCCCACTTACAGTTCCCAAAATGTGTTTCCAATACAATAATTTTATTGGAAGGACAGTTCCTTTTAGAGATTAGAGCACAGCTCTTTGGTCTGTTGTGCTTGCTGAGAGTACCTATTTTTAGGATAGCCCCTGGTTTATTTCCTTATCTCCCTGCAGAGGGTCACAATTGCTCCTGACCAAATTTGAAAGCCCAAGGAGCTCACTGAATTGGGCTACTCCCACTGCTTCTCTATCTGGGCAGGGGATGATTCTGCTGTTGCACTAATAGTTGGAGTATTTCCCTTCCAAGCCTCTGAGTTTATGCTCATTCATCCTGTGCACCAAGCTCTTGGCATTTTATTTGAAAAGGGTTCTCAGCCAGCTTCTTATCTTAATAGAGTTCTTGTAATTAATTGTCTTGGTTCAAAATAGGGAAAGGAGGACAACAAGGCTGTATACTGTCACCCCGCTTATTTAACCTATATGCAGAGTACATCATGAGAAATGCCAGG